GTGAAAGTATTTGCACAATGATGTTTCCAGTCGAAAGAGATAAAAAAAACTGACAGCATCTTTAAATCTCTCTCTCTGTAGACTTAATCAACATCAAAGGGATTCAGCTCAGACTCAAAACCTTTGCTTGTTATTTCCACACCTTGCACAGTTCAATAAATAGTTCTTAAGCTGGACAGAACAGAGGACTAAGTCTCAGATCACTGTTTGGGGCTGGAACAGAGTTGATAAATGGCAGAAGTACTGTGTTAACTTAAAGGACAGAATCTGTTTAATGCACTCGTCACACATGACTGCTGTAATCAATCCTCTTCTCCAGTCTATATGGTTAAAATTATGTTTATATAATAATATAAATATATCTTGAAAGAAACTTGATGCCGCCTGGATTACGTTTTCTTTTATCATTGTTACTACTGAGCGTAACTACAAAACATTCACTGACAATATGGCTTTGTTCAGACTGCCGGACAAAGTGACCTAAACAGTGTGAACAGCCCATGTGCTTCTTGTATGGGCAAAAACGGTAGAGAGAGCGCCAGACATTACAATGAATGCAATGAAAAGGACAAAAAGTTGGGAACATTTGTCATAAATCGGGAGAATTGTGAAACAGGGAGGACAAACGGGAGTCTCTTGTGAAAATCAGGAGGGTTAGCAAGTATGAGCTAACCTCTCTGGCCTCCGTGTTTAATTCTGTACACTAGTACGCTGCGTGTGACGTCGTATTATTGTTTTGTGCATGCGGGTCCCTTTTTCAGGCTGTTACCAGTTCACACTGCAGACTGGAATGAGCCACATTTAAAAAATGTCAACATTCAATCAAAAAAAATCAGATCTGGGCAATAAATCTGAATTGAGCATTAGGGCCTGCAGTGTGAACGCACGCAGCCTATGTCTTTGTTTTTTGGATGGTATTGGATGGATTGGCTTGTGGCAACTAAAGGATGATTAATGTTTTATTATGTGCAGGTACTCACAGCACTTGTTAGAGTGACATGAGGATGTGTTTATTTTTTTTCCAGTCCCCAGAGTTGAAGTCCTATGATTTGTACACTTAGTACACTTCCTAGAGAGGAAAAAACATTCTAGCGAAAATAATCCAGGCTGCAATTTTGTTTTCTCCGAAATCTATTTGACAACACAATTTAGTACTACATGAATGTAATTTCTAGGAGACATGGTTGGATACCCATGTCCCTTCCATTTGTGACTCCACAGTTAAAGATGAGGGACAAAATCTACAGCTCTCTTTTTGTGGAAAAAATGCAAGTTCAGCTGAAGCTAATGAGGCTTAAACAATAGACATCTAACAGAGCATTCAGCTCAGATTCAAACTTTACAGAGCTGCTCTTTTTCTAAAGCTACTGAGAACAAAGGACTCTGTCAGCTCACTGCTGCAGGCTACAGTATTGATAATAAATGACATAATTATTTTGTTCACTTGAAGACTTTTACACCAAACTGGGCTCCACTTAGAAGGGGCTTTTTTACCAGGAGCTCCAAGCGGGAACATAATGCCCTGAAATAATAAAATAAAATAGTATTCTAGGCAAATATATTTGTCTTTGTTAAGGTGTTTGCATTATACCTGTAAAGTGATGTTTGCAGCCTCTGGGCCTCTCCCTTCAATTAATCAGTGAAACAGTGCGTAAAAGGGGAAATATAATCATAATTAGTGACAAATTTCACCACAGTATGCGTTTGTGCCTGAAGCAAGGGGGTTCATTTCGGTTTTGGTTGGCTGGTGAGCCGGAAAGATTTAACAACTGGTTCAGCAAACGTGGATTTAAATCACCAGCTTTTCCCTTAAACATTGTACGCTCTAGTAAAAATCCCAAAATATGAACTTAGAATAGAAAATTAAATTCATGATTTGTTAATGACATTTCTCTTTTCTAAACATGAAGGTTTGCAAATCACTGAACATTTTAAGAGGAGCTGACCAAGGGCAAAGCAAAAATCTGATTTGAGAGCCGAAATTCTGCTGCATTTGATTTTTGATTTGATTCCTCTAGAGGTATAGAGGTAAGCCAGTGGACTTTGGGTCAGAATAGGGAAGTCAGAAAGGATTTATTTTGACAATAAGACAAAAGACAAAAAAAACCCCACCAATCTTAGCCTTTAAAATTTCTCATTATTTTAAAGTATTTTCTAAGTGCAGCAATGTGAAAATAACATCATGTGGTTGGTGAGGAAACCCCTCTTCAGTTTTTGAACAAAGCTGTCTGTCTTTTGATAACCGTACATCACTTTGTAATGAGTGACAGTTTGATAGGGCGCTCACCAATTTAATAATAATAATAATGATGGCGATAGAAGGTGAAGGCACTATTTTTTTCAGCCTGCAGTTCTTTTATACTGACTATATCTCGGGAATGTTTACCAATTTCAGGCAATTCAGACACAGGAATCACGTGTATCGAGTGTACAGGATTGGTAGATAAGACACGTGCCTTTGGTGTGAGAGACCCGGGTTCAATTCCCCACTGTTACACATCCACCATTGTGTCCCTGAGCAACACACTTAACCCCTAGTTGCTCCAGAGGCGTGCGACCTCTGACTTGTCTAGCAATTGTAAGTCGCTTTGGATAAATGAGTAAATGTAAATGGATTCGGCCACAGTCCCCATTAACAACGAGCCGGATAACAAGCGAAGAACTTCAGGTATATGTCCTTTTATTCTCTGTGATAAGGTCAAGCAGATGAATGACCTGTCAGGTGGGCGTTGCCTGGGGAGCGATGGTATGAAGAGCGCCTGATCTGTCTTGAACATGGGTGTGTGAGTCACAGCTAAGGTGTATTGATTTGTTATATGAAAAAAAAAAAGTGCTGCACACAAAAGAAGAGAGAATGTGAGAAAGGAAAGGAGGACCGAGAGAGAGCATGACAGAAGAAGAAAAGGAGAAAGAACTTGAGTGGGTGTGATGAGGATGAAATAATGGAGCAGAGGGAGGTTTACATGAAGGAAGAAAGGTGGAGAACGACAAAAAGAGGAACGCAACAGAAAGAAAGGTGAAAAAGAAAGATGGGCAGAGATGTGAGAATATTTTTTCCTAAAGCCTTCTTACCTTTTTCTTTGAGGTTTGCTTGTACAAATGTTCCACATCCGATTCACAAACTTTTCGTAAATTAATCATTTCCATTTTGATGGAACGCAAATCCCCCCCCCTCCCCGAAATTGATATTTAAAACTTCCTGTTTGTGGTTTTGTTTCAGGAGGTTGAAGTTCTGCAAACCATGCATACACCATTTCCCATCAGACACTAATAAAATAGGAACGTGCGGTGAGAATGTGCGGAACTCACATATACAAGGGGCTAATTATATATAAAATGAGACTGAATGTTATTTCACAGTAATTTATAAAATTTCAAATTAAGGCGCATTTATAAACTTAATTTTGATACATTTTGTGGGATCAATTCATCATATTTACACCGAATGCATCAATTTCAATTGGTAAGCACATCTCAAGGGGTTCTTGATGAGGCCCAGTGAGAGGGATTTTGAAAAAAGGTGAGAAAAATAGACTGTACTTCTCGCCCCCGCCTCTTCACTATTGTAAAGGAGAAAATAGAGGGAGAGAAAACAAAAGGAGAAACAAGAGATATTTAGAGAGGGTGCAAAATAGGACTGTGAATAAGGGAGGGCATTACAGAATGTATAATGAGAGTACTGTAGGATATAGACAGTCATACAGGAAAGACAAGGAGAGAGAAAGATTGGAGAGAGAAGCAATCACAGAAAGAGAAAGTGGGAAATAAAGACATGCTGAGAGATGAAACAGAGAAATCACTTTATTTGCTGATGTTATCGTCCAGTCGGCCTCGTCTAAGAATGTTTCGTCTTTCAGAATTTAATCAGCGCCGTGTGTTGACAGATGACTTTACAGGCTGTCTGGTGTTTCCCATGATGCACCACTCCCCATGACTATTAAATACTTGTTACACTGACCTTGAATGACTGAATCATTCAGCCTGTCCTGACCTTTTGTATTACTGTGGGGCTTTGTAGCCAGTAACAGAACACCGGGATGATTTAGTTTACATTTCACAGATATGATTTTGTAAGGAGTGTTGGAATTAGATTCTTTTTAACGCTGACTTGAAATTAACTCTGCTACTTACTGCTAACAAAGGCGCCTTAATACATGAGACAGTACAGTTGTCTTGTATCTCAGTTACTGGGTATTTAAGGGGACTGATTGTCACTGTGATACCATAATAATAAGCGACTCATGGCTGGAACAAAGTGGAACAAATTGTAGACAGAGGTATGATAGCTACTATTTTTTTCTACAGTATTTTCATGTTAGTATTCGTGTAAAATGGTAAAGTAACAACCATGACTTGGCCAGTACTGAAATTTTGAGGCAGATATTTTCTATTTAGTTTTTATAGTGAAAACTTGAAAACTTGGTTAATGATATTTCAAAACGACGCCATTTTCTCTGCAAACTGTTGCTAACAAACACACTTTCTTTGACAAGGATCCTTGCATTTTTTATTTTTTTCAGAATTATGACCGCGATTTGTACTTACTGGTACTAGAGGTGCAAGAGATCAGCCATTGTTCTAAGCTCACGCGCTCTACGGGTCCGACTAAAGTGTCACACGTCACAACTATCAAGTCAGCAAAAATAAGCATATTTTATAGCACATATTTCATAGCACATTATTCAGCTTATCGGTGCTCTCTGGTGGACAAACATGTAATGACAGCACAGTTTCAAAATTACCGTAAACACGTATTTAGCATTTATGTACTGCGGTTTTGTTATATATCAATTGATATATGGCCTGCCTGATTTATTGGTTTAGCTATAATAAGTTGAGTGAACAGTTGTGCATTTGTGTGTACCTCATGTGAATATATTCATGGAAAAAGTGAACATTGGTATGCATTACCCTTCCAGAATAAACACAAGAAAGTGTGCATCTATCAAAACCACGGTGCTCATCATCCTAAAATCATACAAACACACACAAATACACACCTTCGTAGTCCATATCCCAGTGGTTCTTCCTGATGGAGTCATTGTCTGAGCTGGACGGCGGTCTGGTGGGGAGGTTGGGGGCAACACTGCACACTACCGGTCCCTGTGTCTTTGGAGAGGAAACCCCGCCTCCTGATGAAATGATCTGGCTGCATGGGCGAAGTGACCTGAATGGCGTGTGGTCGAGGTCGTTGATGGGACCGACCAATGTGTTCATCTCAATAGGGTTGACTTCTTGGTTTTTGGCTTTGAGGCTCTTGGACAGACAGGGCGTGAAATAGCTGTGGGTGTGAAAAGATATGTTTTGTTTTCAGTTAATATCTTTAAGGATTAATTACAGATACCCAAAGTCTAACATCCTCTAACATCGCTTCTGTAATACTGCTATTTGTGCGACTGTAAAAATTCAAAACTTCCTTGTTTTACCAGTGACAGGTTTGAAACTGTATTTGAAACTGTATAGTGTGTTTTTTAGAACTTGGACTGATTAAATTGTTTGTGGAATTTTGAACTTTTACTGATTTACACTCATTTTTTAGCTTTTATCCAAAGCGTCTTACAATAGCTTCTATCTCAGAGGTCGCATGCCTTAGGAGTAGGGCTGAACTATTTGGGGGAAAAAAATCTAATTCTAATTGCCAGATGTTGCGGTTATGATTCGTTTTGTTAAAGGAATTTTTTCATTTGTTAAAAATTTGTTAAGTTTTGCTAAAGTTCCACATTCTCTGCCAGTCCATTATTGATGGAAGCCGGACCAAGCAGAACAGAGCAGGGGCGAGTTCAATCTCAAAACCGTTTGCAATGTTTTTGGATTGAATGACATGTTTCCTTGCAACGTTCCGCAACGGGCTTCGAGGTATGTTTTCTTCTGTTTGGTGGGCGTGACACAGGTGTTACCCAATCAGCTGCGACAAGTGTGTAAACACAGCTGTGTTAAAAAGGCAGAAAAATGCAGTGGGCTTGCGTACACAACAGGGTGTTCGAGGCACCACTGTGTCCAGATGAACCAGGAAGTCAGACACAGAACGGCATGGAGAATCCGGTCAATTTTCAAAATAAAACACCCTGTGCAGACTCCCGATCGTAGATCAACCAAATCATAAACACAGTTAAAACAGCGAAAAAAAGAAGCAATTTAACTACGTAGCCTTCTTAATCATATTTGAAGCACAAAAATCAAAAACAACTGAACAAATAAGCAAAATCTGAACAAGTCAGCAAAATCAGACAGGCAAAACGCTCTTATTCTGAAATGCTCCATGTGCATATGTAACGTTAGCCTGCAGAGAGCGGAATGGAACGGGCTCACAGAAGCAAACAAAATGACAAATTAACAACACATTAACAACATGTAGGCTAAACGCTCTGCTGCTGAAACACTTTCACAGTGTGAGTTGATGCCCACACCTGTGTCGATACAGCTGGTGCCATTATCCCATGTTTTCCTCGTTTGTTGTTGTAAAATGTACACGCCCTGTGCCCACTGTGTCACCACACAAGGATGACAGTGGAATGAATTTGTAACTGTGTTACTGTTTAAAGCGGGTTAGATGCGCTGTATAATTAACCTACATTACACTACAATTGCCATCTTCACGATTAGCTCATCGCGTTCTTTCAAATCGCAATTTCGATTTGAAAACAATTAATCGTTCAGCCCTACTCTGGAGCAACTTTAACCTTAAGTGTCATGTTTAAGGACACATTGGCGCGATGTGTCACAGTGGGACTCGAACCTTCGTTTTAGACAGAAACATTTGCTCTTACCCATTGGAGTCCTGGACACAGACGGGCCTTTTCTTCTTCTGCTGAACATAACGTTTCCTGATGCAAACGAAGACGCCAACCAAGAAGAGTAATCCAAGCACGCTGGCACTGATCTCCATGATTTCCACATAACCAATCATTGGAGATACAACACTTTTTACCTGATGGCACCTGTAGGAGAGTAAAGGAAGTTGGATTTAGAGGAATGCATGATGGCTTTAGCATGTAAACATACTAATGTTTAGTATGAGACATTCCACATGTTAGCTTGTTAGGTGGTAACATGAGTACAGTTGACATTAAAAGGTTCTGCTAATAAACATGCACCACTTTCCAACTTCAAATAATAAACATCAATCAAATCTGTATTTGTGTAACAACTTTCATAAAGGTTGATATGAATATGTCAGAAGGTGTGTGTCTGAATATGGAGTGTGATCAAGAGTGTTACAGTTAAGAGCAGCATAAAAGACCCTTGGCCCGGGAATGAAGGTTACATCTGGCCGGTGATACTCATAGCTTCCCTGCCCAGGCACGATACACAACCCAGAGGACCTACTGGCAGAGCTCTGATTGCTAAGTGCCGCTGCTGCGATACTAACAGAACCTATCATTTTGTTTTACATAAAACTGCCTGGTGTTCAGCCTTACCCACTCATTTCCCAGGCGTAGAATTCCCTTACACGCGTTGAAAGTATATTCTAGCAGTTACAGAGCAAAATACAGCATTAATTCTTTTTTCTTCTTGGACGAGGAGTTTGTTTTGGAAAAAGAAATGTTTTTGATGAGCTGAGTTCTGTATTTTTCTTATTATTGGACGCTGATTGGTAAGATAGTTTGTTCATGTGGATGGTATTCGATGAAAATACACAGTGGACATTGTGCTGCTGTCTACTGCACAGACTGATCACACATGATAACATCAAAAACCTTCACAGCATGATAAAACATCTATCTGTGTGTTTTACACAACACATAGCAAACTCCCAGTCCTGCAATTACAATCCGCCGGTGGTCATTTTTCATTCACTGAGTTAATTAGTACCCCACCTGGAACATGAACCGCTTTTAATACCCGCGAGAAGCAACGCAATTCCAAAGTCTTAATGAAAGAAGGAATATGCAAATGCTGCTGTAATTTTATTTAAATGTGATTGTTCCCTTTGACAGCCGTTGGTTGTGTGAGGGGAATACAACTAGCTGGTTGTAAGGTGATGAATAAAAACACGTTCGCTTTGTGTGTGTGTGTGTTACAGTTGGACTGTGTGTCTAATCACATATACATGCATATTCAAGGCCTTGCAATGAAACGCAAACATACGTCAGTGCAAGTGATGTTGCATCTAATGAAGGTTGAGCTAGTTTTGGTATTTACTTGTTGGAATCTTAATAATACCTCTGAGAATCTAATTATGATTATGTGGTTGTGTCAGACCGGTTAACAGTTTTTCCATCTGGTCTGTAAACTGAGATGAATGTGTACAATAGATAGTTTGAGTAATAGTTGCACCATTCGGCGTAGTTCTGGTTTCCAGCCTAGCCGATTGTCTGACTGCTCTTCTTTCTTGCCTCGTCTGACTACTTCTTATGGCCTGTACAGATAAGCTTATATTTCACTCTATCCAGCTGTCTATACAGGCGGCGTAACAGGCCCAAAGCGTATTTTTTTCCCGTTTTATGGGTGTAACTTCTGAGATTGTGTATTGGGCTCGGAGATCTGCCAAAATGCAGGGGTCTGTTCCTGAACACATGCTGCATATAAACAGGTAGATTGTTTAGTATAAACGCCAAATGTGTGATCGTGCGTCTTGACTGAATCGTCTGGTGTGTGCGTTCTTAAGGTTAAAAATTAAAAAAATTGGTAAATTCCCGTTATGTCTGTGGTATCCCGAGTTTTTAAAACTGGTTAAGATTTGAAAATCCTCTAGTGTGTACGAGCTATCATGTTACTAAGACACTAAACAGTCTGAAGAAGCAAAAAGAGGAAAAGAGAGGCTGCACGTCCAGCCGATCAAACCAACTACACCTGGAGTAAAATCAGCTGCCACAAAAGCGTTTAATTGAAGTGATGGAACGCAGCGATCGATCAGTGACAAGTGATGTAAATGTAAATGCTCCGTACTTGTATAGCGCCTTTCTAGTCTTTTCGACCACTCAAAGCGCTTTTACACTACATCTGCATTCACCATTCATACACTGAGCCTAAGTGCTCAAACGGAAACTAACATTCACACTCATTCATACACTAGCGGAATAGCCGCCAGGGGCAATTCGGGGTTCAGTATCTTGCCCAAGGACACTTCGACACGCAACCAGGGGGAGCCAGGGATTGAACTGCTGACCTTCCGATTAACGGCCAACCCGCTCTACCTCCAGAGCCACAGCCGTGATGTGAAGAGCAAGTACAAATGTACAGAGCAGTGTTAAATGATACCAGAAAATGACAAAAAGCCAATCTTGTGGTGATAAACCTGCAACAGTGATGAACATGCCTGAGATCACAGCCAATGGTGAGCGGCGGTTAAAATCACGCAAGGACTCAGTTATGCAGGCCTTTTTTCATACAGTCTATGGTGCAGGCACATAAGGGCGAAAAAAGGCTTGCTCTTCTCTTTCTTTCTGTGTTTTTCTTGCGTACAACCATACTAGTAGTCATTGTTTGCTGTGATCTGACTACAAAAAGTATCGAATGAAGTACTGATTTTCACTGATTTTTGAAGTTTTAATTCTACCATAAAGGTATTGAGTAGCACCACTCGTCTCCACTTCCTCCCACTGTACAAAAGCCAAAATATCCCCGATACGGGTGCTGCAGTCCTGACGTCATTTGGAGCCAGAGACTGAGCAGTAGTGATTGGGGTTGAAGCAGCGTGCAAAGTCAGACATGGGGTTTGTGAAATCGCTTGATGAGCACAGTGGCTGCAGTCCAAGAGCGGGGAAAGTTTCTCCTACAGCTTGTAATCAATCAGCAGCAGGTAGCGGAGCTGCTGTGACAAACAGCCACTACAAGCTGCTTGAAATATGTTTTTATCAGTCTGTATCGTTTGCAAGGCTGTTGGTACATGTGATATTTTGTTTAAGTGTTGCATGGAGTTGTCATTTCAAGTCAGCATGAATTGCGTGCCATGAAGAAATGGAGTGGAACTAATGTCCAACCAGCATGAAGCAGCACAGTGCCACTCCCCCCAGTTTGTAATAAACCATAGTTTTCCTTTAAGAAAACCCAAATTATACCAATCACATGGCGAGGACAGCGGGACATGATGATATTTTGGCATTTTTAATTGATAAATGACTTAAAGATTAATTCTATAAAATATAAATCTATAAACTACTGATTATTATTTTGTTGACTGATAATAAATCACTTCAGCAGTGAGGACGGCTGATACTACAGATGCCGAGGTTTTTAGGCCCTTCAAGAGATAGTTTGAACAATGAAGATCTTTATACATCTTAGACATTTGGATTATAAAGAAGTCACCTCATGATTTGAATCTTCTGTGAAACCTTTTAAAACGGTGTTTTAATGAATGTTTGGCACCAAAACTCTCCGGTGAAACCAAACTAATCAAAATTTTTACAGCACCTTCAGCTCTTGAAGGAAGTTCAACAGTAACAAAACTACTGCATGCATATAAAGAATATGTTTCAAATGCATTACTCGTTAAAAAGTGCATGAATAAAATTTGTGCGGGTTTACCCTGCTTCGGTATTGTCCAGCGAGCAGTTGCACATGTAACCTGGAGCCTTGGGTACACACTCCTCGCCGTGGGCACATGGCTGGGAGGCACATGGGTTGTCTGCCAGCTCGCAGCGGGCGCCGTAGAAGAGTCCTGCACACCTGCAGCGCGGCTCTGCAGAGTAAATAAAACACACCCACACGTCTGACAAGAGCGACTGATCAAAGCCACGGCCAGTTCCCCCTACAGGCAGTAAAAAATCAAAGCAAAGGTCAAAGTGATGTAGCGAGAAAACACGAGCGAGTGTGTTTGATATTTAAAGGGAAAAATCACCCCTTAAAAACTTCAACACTGTTTTAGTTGTTGTTGTTCCTGTGGATAATAATAATAATGTAATGTGACATAAAGGAGTCTGTTTTAAGAAATGCTTTCACCGATCTAAAACATCAAAAGTAAAAGTCACGTTTTTTGGCAGATTGCAATCTTAAGTGAAATCTTCTTTGTTTTAAATGAAGTTTGACATCGATCCAATAGCGAAGTCACGGTCCTCAATTGGCCCATTGTGGGTTTAAGTGGAGGCTCGAGGCACCCCACAGGAACTTGTTGCATTGCATTCTGGTGTGTTTCAAGGACAGAAGCTGTTGTATGAGGTAGAGACATAACTCGCTCTCTCGTGTGTTTTTAAAGGTAATGTTTGGAAAGTGAAAGAAAGCATCAACTGTACACTGTAAAAGTACACTGCCCTTCACAGTAACTTCCTGGGTGTTGAGCAACGTAGGTGGATTTTTTAGTTTAAAAGTTGAAGCAAACATAGATGTTTTAGTATTAAAATTACACATCCCCATGTTGACAATATTCACACTTTAAGACAAGCACATTATTGCTTTATTGCCGTTATGAGTCACCCGAGCATATTTTCATAGCTCTTTTTTTTTAAATTTTCCTGTAAAATAATTTTGACCAACGGATGTTAATGCAGCAAAAATGTCTCCAAAAGGGAGCATTTCAGTGGTAGCTGGAATGAAAATGGTTATTAACAGTTTCATCACTGATATTGCACCTGTCCATGGGATCCTTCTGCTTATTTGCTGTCATTATAGTACAGTCATTTGGCAGATGCTTTGGTCCAAATAGACAATTTGTAGTTCAGTGTCTGGCCCAAGGACACTTTGACACGGGGGACCTGAGGGATCAAACCACCAGCTCTGCAAGTTATGCCTAACTTCCTCTAACATTAAAACACAAACGATTGTTCTTGGCCTCAGCTCAAAACATCCACTAAATGGCTTTCGGCGTATTCAACAGAAGCTAGACAGATAAAAAAAAAAAAAGAAAGAGACATCCAGTATCCACCCATATACCAGAGACATTGGTATAACATTAATGTAAGTAAAAATTGCAGTACAGAAATGTCATAATATGTTTGTTTAGTTTAGAAACACCATGACATAGATTGTCAATCAGAGTCCTGACCTTTTCCTTTTGTTATTGTAAATTTGTCCCACTATGTATGAATTCTTTGACAACAGCACTTCCTGCTCTAAATTGTCTGGTTACATTTCGTGTTTGAAAAAACAAGTCTGATATATCGAGTCAGGCTTCACTTCTTCACTTTCAACTGCATCTCACCATCATGTCCAACAAATGGAGTGGCTCAGTTGTCATCATGTGACCCTAAACATTGAATATAGGACAACTTGTTTTCACGTTACAAAAGGCCCATGCTCAAGTCGAATGATGACACCTGAGACAGCTCCAATTCCTGGCTTAAAGCTCCAAAAGCGTGGACCTTTGAGTTACACATATTTTTGTGGTTTTTAACACAAACCAAAACCTTAAAAGGCCTAAACTGCTCAAAAGAAGAAGGGGAAAAAAAGTTAAACCTTTTTACTTGACATCCCTTTTTACTCAGGAAGTAAACAAAACAGTAGGGGATCGACTTCATATTCGCAGTAAAAATAAAGGAGCATCCACAGCCTTCATTGTTTTTGCCGCCTGTCTGATTACATTTGCTTGACCTGGAAAGATCTTTTGGGAAATAATATTTGCTTCTTGTTGTTGGCATCGCACCCCAGAATTTGTGCCTGAGGCTTAACTGAAATGTGATTTGGCATGATGATGAATAAAGTCCCGAGAAAAGTAATACCTGGCTGTAACCTTGTGTCCTGTGTCCACAGGGGGCATAGTGGACATTTTCTTATTTTATGCAGCTCAGTGACCTAACAGGTAAACCCACAGCAAGGAAATACCAAAGAGATGGCAGTTTTTTGATAAAAGCTATAGGGTTTGTTTGTTTACACTGTTCTCTAGCACAGAGATCTGTATCGTCAGCTGTACAGCTTTATGTTTGGTTTCATATCCACCTTACTAGAAAAAGAACATATTGCCTGCACTCTCTCACAAAGACACATGAGATAATATTGTTTTAAAGCTCCTGGTCTTTTCTGTAAAATTGCTGGTGTGCTTATCAGATGCTATTCTAAGTAAAGAATAAGGTAAGCCGCCAGACATCCTCTTTTGTGATACATAATTCAAACCCCCCCCCAAGAAATTGCAAGCCTCTCAGACACCATTTTTTTAAATCTTTTGTGTTTTTGCCAAGAACTGATGCATCTGGCCAATTAGTGATAACCTAAAGCAATAATAAAGCAAGCAATCACATAAAGGGCTGGATCAGGCTGGTGTTATTCTATATGATTCTATAAATCTTTAAAAAGCCTCACATTTTTTTTGGACAAAAACTTTACTAAAACAGGAGGAAATTCAGCAGCCAGTTAATCCACATCTGGTCTCAGGTATTTGAGATCCCCAGTGCTGCTTTGTACAGAACGTTGGTGTAGGAAAAATCATTGAAGGAAATCAGATATTTATAGTCTAAATCTCAAACTGGTCAGCTTGGCCCTTCAAGGATTAAAATCGATCTAATTTAAGTCTTTTGTTTGCATTTTTAGTCCCTCGACTGTGGAGCAGACACTACCAAAACATCAACTAAATTTGTTTGAGTGTCTTAAAAAGTATTTGTATTCCTGCACATATGACTGCAGTTTTAACTCTGCTTTATACATATGTTTCTGCAGGTTTAATATAACTGTAATTTATTATGTGGTAGGTTTACATCTAATTTAAACTTTTAATAAATGTTTTACTAAATTAGCGTATGTGTCTATAGTCCTAATAGTAGCAAAAAGTACTATAGAAGGTGTGATGGAATAAGCGGGATGGTCTTCCTGAAGATATTTCCCTTTGCTGAAGACACCTTTACATTACGTATACGTCAGAGTCAGGAAGGCTGGAAGCTGACTGTCCTAAATTTTTAGTGGATATGTTTTCCTTTTGCATAAAGCTTTGTTATTGTTTTGTTTTCAAAGTAGATTCAGCAAATTAACTTAAAGCCTGTGAAACCCTATTTTCCCACTCAGCCTCTTACTGTGAACAAAGTTGGAATAGTTTAGCCT